GCGATGTAACAAGCTACTCGCAAGGCTTTCAATTTAATAGTAAATGAAAAACGGAAAAAACATATTGATAATATTTATAATGTATAATATTTATTAATGTATGTATAAAAGATACCTATGTATGTATAAAATAAAATAAGATAATAATTAAATTTGCAAAAGCTGTCAAGATTAATGAGGAATCCCAGCAACTGAAATTAACTAACTAAATAAAAAAATGAAGACGTTCAAAGAAAAATTTTTTTATAAAATATTTTTAACTCAGGTCCATTTAACATCATTGTTATTATGCAAACTGAATTTTACAAACTTGAAAGAAAATGAAATTTTTTATGTTACAGCTAAAAGAAGAATTGCCGTTTATGAAGATAAAATAGAAAAAGAAGTGGAACATCGAAATATCGCCATTTGACGAGAACGCGAGAAAAGGAAGAACTTTATGAAAAACAATCAAATGAAGATTCATACTTTTGTATCCTACCATGACCAACTTTTTATTTAAACATGATGTTTAATTAACAATGTTAGATAATTTATCTATAAATAGAATTATAACAATCTTTTCCTTTGTTCAATCGTATCTGTGTTATCCTCTGCATCATTGACATTGCTCAATTTTGAACACTTTTCTTACTAAAGAGCTTTTTTAATCTAATATTAATTTCTCTGAAGATAATTTCCAATGGATATCCATTTTCAAGAAGCAACTTTATATATAATTCTAAATTCTCTTTATAAAATGTAGGATGAGATAATAAAATCATTCTCCACAAGATTGTAAATCATTCCAATCTTGAGACATAATGGATGGTTAGAAAGAGACGACAGAAATCTGAAAAGATTTTCTTTTGAAACCGATTTATAATTATTATGTCATCCTTTACAATTAACAAGATATCTAAAAAGCTTAAAGAACGATTACATTCCATTTCAAAAGTAAATTGCAATCTCTTATAAAGACTATTGAACACATCAACAATATTTTGAATCTGATGTGAAGGTGCAATTAAAACAATATCATCCACGTATCGATAATAAAAAAATAATTCTAAATTAAGACTATTTAATGCTTTTTCTTCTAAATCTTGCAATATCATGTCAATTATTATAGATGACAATGGGAACCTCATTGAGATATCAAAGATCTGTTTGTATATCTTGTTATTAAATAAGTAGTTAATATGAATTCATTAATGGAGATGAAGTCCTCATATGGAATATTAGTATTACATTCGATTTGTCTCCACCTTTTTTTCTATATTTCACAAGATCCCGGGGAATGTTCGTGAACATTGACTACATCTAAAGAAACCAAGACATTCATCAATACTATTATTTATTTTCTTACTCGACAGAGACTTATATACCTCAAAACTATTCTTAACGTGTCCATTATTAAAAATTACATACTATTTGTAATGATATAATGTATAAATTTAGCAAGAAGATACAAAACCGTATTAATTGATGATACAATTATTCTATATAATAATTCTGATTTATGTATTAGGTGTTGGAATTAATTCGTAGCGTTTTACAAGTGATGGGAAGTACTTTCATTAATGTATTTTTTAATGCTCATGTGAAATAAATAACATTCTTTCATTAAAAAACGCGGTGATTTCGACTTGGATGACAAGGAGCGACCTGGTCAGCCGAAAAAATTTGAAGATAACGATTTGCAGGCACTGCTCAATGAAAACTCATGTCAAACACTTAAAGAATTATCTACGTCATTGGAAGTTGACTTCTCAACAATAGGAAAACGTCTTAAAAGTTTGGGCATGATCCAGAAGGAAGGACATTGGGTCCCATATGAATTGAAACCAAGGGATATTGAGAGACGTTTTCTCACGTGCGAACTGCTGCTTCAACGGCAGAAAAGAAAAGGTTTTTTGCATCGGATTGTTACCGGTGACGAAAAGTGGATCCATTATGACAATCCAAAGCGCAGAAAGTCATGGGTTAAGCCCGGCGAACCATTAACATCAGTGGCAAAGCCCAATATCCATGGCTCAAAGCTCCTGCTCTGTATTTGGTGGGATCAGAAGGGTGTCATATACTACGAACTGCTAAAACCGCATGAAACCGTTACTGGAGATCTCTACCGACGGCAACTGATGCGCTTGAGCCGTGCATTGAAGCAAAAACGGTCGGAATACTTCGAAAGACACGATAAAGTCATCTTGCTGCACGACAATGCTCGCCCACACGTTGCAAAACCGGTAAAAACATACCTGGAAACACTTAAATGGGAAGTGCTACCGCACCCGCCGTATTCTCCTGATATTGCACCTAGCGACTACCACTTGTTTCGATCATTAGCTCATAGCTTGTGCGAGCAGAAGTTCACATCTTACGAAGATTGTACAAAATGGTTCGATTCCTGGATTTCATCTAAAGATGAACAGTTCTTCCGACGCGGTATTCATTCACTGCCCGAAAGATGGTCAAAAGTAGTAGAAAGTGATGGGAAGTACTTTCATTAATGTATTTTTTAATGCTCATGTGAAATAAATAACATTCTTTCATTTAAAAAACGCTACGAATTAATTCCAACACCTAATATTTTAGGTAAATCAGATATTTTTGGAAGAATCAAATCACTAAAATATAAATAAAAATACGTCTTTTTAGATATAAAGTTCCTTAGGAACCATTTTTTTATAATACTTCGATTTTCGCTCAATTGTTTTAATAGGATTTTTATTAACCATAATATAAATAATGTCATCTTATATCTTTAAACAAAGATGAATATATAAATAAAATAGATTTCTTCTATTTTATTTATATATTCATCTTTGTTGTCATGTTGGAAAAACATTATATACCGAGTGTCTCAGATCACCCGTACATCTCTTTTATCTCGGAAACAGAGTATTTAAAAAAAAATGTTTTAGACAAAAGTTTGAGATTCTAAATGATCTATTTAATGATCTAATCAGTCTTGAGTGGCGTCACCAAGGTCAGAGCAATGTCACTTTGAATTTTTTAAATGGAACTTTTTATTTTTCATTACACATTTTTCGTATTAACACACCTCGAGATGTAAAGTTTCCAAAATACTATAATAATAAAAATTTATATCGTCGATTTTTAAATTGATAATTGTTTCGGTTTCCTTGCAAGTTATAATTTTATATAGTCGATTTGTATGTTAGTATTTATTATATTTAATATTTAGACTTATAAACAATGTGAATACGAAACGTTCTCTCATACGCTCTCAAGACATAATTATAAATACATCGCGTTTATAACAGATCATCGTTATGCTGAGTATAATGTAAGGTTATCTAACTGATATAATTAATTTTAATACTGCGATTATGAATAGTATTTCAAAATTTCACTTATTAATTTGATTTTAGCTAAATGACTGAATTAATGTTTGGGTATCCAGCTAAATACAACAAACGATTATGAAGTTCTTAATTTTGGACAAAACAGCCTAACGATGATTCATTATTGTATGCGCCTATATCATTACAACGAATTAAATTGACTCCGAAAATGTTTTTGACAAACTGAAGAGGACCGAATCTTATGGTCGAAACGTTTGTAATTGATGATTAACATATATATTATATTTGATTACATGTACAACTGTGTTATTGGCTCTCATTGGCATTATACACCTTTATTGTTTTAATCTTTGGAAACTTTTTTAATTTTTATTTGTTACTGAAAAAAGTCTTCATAAAAACGAATTATGAAAGAGAAAATATCAGTCTTTTTATAATTTTGAAATATATAAAGATTATGGGTTTTTTGTCTAGATCCATTCTTGGAATGCCAACGTTTCGTGAATCTTGCAATCCACTTTATCAAGGCGAGGAGCAGTCTGATATTGTTACTGATCAGGCTGATAAAACGTTGACATTCCAAAAATGGATCTGGACACGGAGGAAACCCACAAAACACATAATCTTTATATAGAAAGCACCCAAGGAAGTCTCAAGAATATTATTAAATTCTGAAATATATTTATATTTCTTTTATTAATTTTTTAAATAAAGATTATGTGTTCGTATATAATAAAATGTAAAATGAAGTATTTTTTCTGCGTATATGCTTCTTAAATGATAGCAATTTAAATTTTATCGAATCATCATATTATATAAAGCATATCGCATGCGTGATCAAATTGTGACGGTAAAAAATTGTCAGAAAAATATAGTTCCTCCAAATTATATAAGTAGTATAGATGTTAGTAAAAGAATGAGACATTTACTCTCAAGATAATATATAATTTGTTACATCTTTAAATGATATATTCTGACTTGATTATCTATAGATTAATAAAGATTATCAAGGTCAGTTAAATCTTCACTCTACAACTCAAAGTTCATAAATTAAATAGTAAACCTTCTTTCTTTATATCTAATACTAAATATAGGTAGCAATTTATGATAATATTGGCCTTGATACATAGCATTGACTTGATACATAACATTGACAAACAACATTTCTGTCTGATTTCTTTCTTTTCTTTTTACTATAAATTTTACATAATTTATAATATACTTCGAATTAATTATTCTTAATTAATTTTAACATTTCAAACATTTATTTCTCTACGATTATTAATATTTACATACATAGTTTTTATTAATTTCGCAATCTCACATAAAACTTCTATAGTATTCCGAGAATGCATTCAGAGTGAAGATTTAACTGACCTTGATAATCTTTATTAATCTATAGATAATCAAGTCAGAATATATCATTTAAAGATGTAACAAATTATATATTATCTTGAGAGTAAATGTCTCATTCTTTTACTAACATCTATACTACTTATATAATTTGGAGGAACTATATTTTTCTGACAATTTTTTACCGTCACAATTTGATTGCGAACTAACTAATTATTGCGTCTAACTAATTATTTTTAATAATATTAATTGATATAATAAAGTTTGACATTAACATTTCAGATCTTTGACAATCAAACAAATTTATTTAACGAATTAATGATCTTATGGACGGTTTATGTCATTGAAATGCCTCTATATTTCATTCATGATAGCTCTTCGCAGTGTATGTATAGTAGATATCTAGAGAAAATTGCATTAACATCATGAAATTCAAAAAACAAAAATATTTTTTCTTTATTAGACACGAATGATATTCTCGATTATATTTTATATCTTGACTTCCTATGACTACAAAATAATTAAAATTTTTTTTATCATTATCTTTGATCTGTTAATTCTTTTATATTAGAACTTAATTTCTTAAGTTATAAAAAAATAGCCTATATAAATCTCTAACGAAATTTTAAAGAATTATACTTTAGAAATATATAACTTGATATTTATTATATTTTTAACAGACACCAATCAATTTTTAATTGCATAGCATTTTATGTGAATTATACTTTGTTCAATAATTTACGTCATACTTAAGTTAATATTAGGAAACATCAAGTGACCAGTATTACGTTGTATTAAGAACAATGGCTCCACAAAATTTATGATTTGCACAGTTGTATAGTGCACATGTCAATTGTACAGTTTTTAGAGAGAGGGATATCTAGAACTATATATGGCAGACCTGTAATAGGTAGACAGTAAATAACAGTCGACTTTTATTCACGTTCATATGTGTTTCGTTCTGTACTTGCCTATTGTAAGTTTCTCATAAAGAATAATCTTTACGTAGTGGAAAAGCTGTTTCCGGATATGGAATCTTTTCTTTAATGCAATTAGTTATATTGATTTTTATAATAATCGATTTTATCGATTTTTATTCAAGTTCAAATGGATATACCAGTTGCATCGACTTAGTAGCAACTAAAGACGTTCTGTTCAAATTTTTTTACAAACATGTCATCTATCTGTATTATTTTTGAATTGTTGTTTAGAATAATTTATTTCTTCTAATAAGCAATTGTTTTTTAAGCATATTATTAGTTTTATAACATATAATGACAATTGTTCAAAATATTTTAGTATTTTTCTTCTTATTCAGATATATTATACTCAAAAAAAATATTCTGCCGATAAGCGAGGAATTCCTCTTAGCATTTTCTCTAATTGTAAGCAAAAAATCTTACATAAATCAGGTGCATATATTTATAATACGTATTCATCTATAAAAATGAGGAAATGTGAGTTACGTCTCATCATTTTTTAAGAAGGAATATGCCAAAATTTTTAATTCACTTCGTTTTCTCCATATGCAAATCTTTTTTGTCGCTTTTAATAAGTTCGAATAATAATTTTCTTCATTACAAATAATAATCTCTGAATGTAAGTAACAATCTCTGATTAGTGCATTCTTTTATTAATGTGAAATAAAGTTTAGAGCAATTTCAAACAGAAAGTGATCTTGAGTATTATGAGAGTATTATAATAATATGAATCAGTATTGTATACAACTATCTAATCAGCAGACAATATTTTGAAATATATAATATAAATTTCACGATACTCAAAATCAAGATCACTTTCCTTTCGAATTTTTTCTCTACTAAAGTTTTATTTGTTTATCGTAATATAAACAAATAAAATACTTTTTGAAAAGTTTTATTGCTATATGATAATTAAGATAAGATTTCTTTTAATAATTCTCTATTTAAACATTAAATACAATAGAGAATGCTAACACAGTCAAAGTTAGATGTTTTGACTAATACAATATATTTTTTTAAATCAATTTATTTCAGATTGCGCATAGTTTTTGGACTTTCACAATTAGTCTGAAACTAATAATTTCCTCTAAATTAAATTAGAAAAACTGTAAAAAACTTATTGCGAAAAATATTATCTCAGCCAGGATTCAAATACAGGACCTCTCAATTTTTTGTTCTTTATTTATAATTCGATTTATAATTAATTCTATTAATCTCATTATTTTTTAAACCGATTTCAATTTATTTTGTGCATGACCATACATAGAATTTGTTTATGATGCAGTGAATCTAAACTCAGTGATATTGATCAACCGCGTTCAGGGTTTCTCCGATTTGCAAAACCCGAATATTTTTGGCAAAATGGATGTAAAGGTAAATATAAAAACGTTCTTTTACTTATTAGGTGTTGGAATTAATTCGTAGCGTTTTTTAATGAAAGAATGTTATTTATTTCACATGAGCATTAAAAAATACATTAATGAAAGTACTTCCCATCACTTGTAAAACGCTACGAATTAATTCCAACACCTAATACTTATTCTAGCTATAGATATAACCCTAGCTGTACACACTGAAGTCCCAAAAACCTTAGTACAATTTGCTAGGTCAAGATTTTTTCATGTTTCTGAACGTTTCTTTTCCTTTAAATCTATATATCTCAAAGCTTCTTAATTCTATCGACACATTACAGACTTGTTCCTTAATCAATTCTCCATCGATAAAAATTAATTCAAATATGTCCATTTTTATGGAAGTTACGGTAACAAACATAGATGGTATCTCAGGGATCTGAGTATGTTTTTATCAAGGATAGAAAGAAAGAGTATAACATAGCTAGAGTTAATATTCATTGTCAAAATCTTTAGATACAAAGTAAATTTTCATCAATATATTCGAAATTTTTTAAAATTATATATAATGGAAAGTAATATTTAATGCTTAGCAGTTGTTATAACAATCAATCTTCACAGTGCTATGAAGTATTTTTCTATCAAGGCAGTAGATTGAGTATATATTCAGTGCATTGATGAAAACGCGAGAAAATACATATTAATTAAAGTCAAAGTTATCGTCAATGTATGGATTAACGTGAAACATATAGCTTAATTACAAAGAGTAAAACAAGCAATTGAAATAATTTAACTATATGCTGTTAACAGAATTTTATTGTGGAAAATGGCGTTTATAAAGGAGAAGAGACGCATCAGTCGACTAAGTATAAGAGCCTTGGAGAATTAATGTGGGTTAGCATTACAAGTCATGAGGACAAAATTGCACATGTGAGTCAACGTTTACATGTAATATTAATTTTTATATCTGCAGGAAGATATAACTTTTAAAACTTATAATGTTTTACTAAAAATGAAAAAAGTTTAAAAGTTTTAGAACAATAAAGAGCAAATTAAAACTATATTTTTAATTTTAACATTTTCAAAAATATTTGAAAACGTTATTAAAATTTAAAACATAGTATTAATATGCTTTATAGTAGTAATAGTATACTACTATACATATAACAAAAAAAGCAGACTAAAACTAGCTATTTCTTTATAGAAAAAAAGGAAATAAAAAGTGTCACTTAAAAGCCAACACGGTTAATGGTACGCAAAGAAATTTTTATTAATATTTAACAAATATGCATACGTACATTTCGATCAATTATTTAGGTCCTTAGCAATGCAAATTACAAATATAAGCTATTGATAATACATAAATATACCAAATGACAGCGAATGTCTTATAATTACGTGTGGACAGCGCATGATGTCTTGCCTAATGGTCATCTAATTATTGCAGAAGTCAGAGTTGCGAACAAGAAAAAGTCCATAAATTAGGAGTATTATAACAGTGGTTGATTATTAGATAAATCAATGTATAAACGCCAGTGATATATAATTAAAATGCCTTCCAAACAATGTATTGTCATCTGATATAACTATTCAAACAATATGAAAAACAAGTGCTGATAGTACTCAGTATAAAATAGCGTTGTGTTAAATATATATAATTTAATATACAAGATACAAAAAGATGATATAAAAAATTTTTGAAAAATATATTATAATATGAAAGATATAAAAAATAGCATTCTGTTGAATTTACATAATGTAATATACAAGAGATGAAATATATAATAGCTGAATATAATGTCCAAATTAAAATTAAATGATGTGAAATATAAAATTATATAGAATTGAATATAGAATTGAATTATGTCAAAAATAATACAATAGAGTAATGATGTTATATTATATAATATCTTAACTTATATAAGAATGATACGGAGAAATTTTTTAATGCTGCTGTGACAAATGAAAATGATATTAAAGCGAAATAAAATTTCTTAACTATATTGTTAACAGTTAAGGCAATAATGACGGAAAATATATAAACAATATATAAACAAATATACAAATAATATATAAATAAATATTCTTATATTTATAATGTTCTTATAATAATAGGTCAAGAAGCAACATGATTTTTCTGAAAAAAATTTTTTTATTTGAAAATTTTTCTGAAAAATAATTAAAAGGGTAATTTTCATTGTTTTTTTTAGAAAAAAATCAAGTTTAAAGAAATTTAAAAGAACTACTTATCTATAATTATATATAATTGTGTATGAACAATTTTTTATACATTTTCCTAAATTTGTTTTTTTTTTAAAAAACAATGCGAAAATTATTCTTTTAATTATTATTATTTTCAATGTTTTCACATTATTATTATTATTTCTGTTACGCTAAAATATAATTTTACAAATGAAAAAGGAATACGTGAACATGTATGGACATATTTTACATATGATTATACATGTTTATGAATATTTATGTATGTTTATACATATTTATACATATTCATGCATACAAAATTTTTTAGAGATTTAAATTTAAAGGTTTTTTAAATCAAACGGAATACGAATCCGATGCCAAAATTGATAAATTCAAAATCATGATACTTCTATACAATAATTTTTGCAAAAATCTGAATATTTTTCAAATTTTAACATCCGCTATGTTAATTTTCGTTTATTAATTAATTCTTTAATTTAAAATTTTACATAATAATAATATTATATAGTTGGATGCACATACTGATGAAACATTTACATATGCGGAGTTGCAAGATAAAGCTGTGAGATGCGCTTTATGGTTACAAAAGCAAGGAATCAAATGTGGCGACGTTATTAGTGTGTGTACGAGTAATCAACCCAACTCCATAGTGCCTTGTATTGCAGCGGCATATGTTAACGCAATCTTTAATCCATGGAACGAAGATATGGACTTATGTAAGATTTCTCGATAATCGTGTATATCAAATATTATATGTTATCTTAAACATTTTTATATATTATATTAGATTACACAAGTGTATTTTTAATAACAATGAGCACGAATAAAATTTTCTACCTTGCGATAATTAAACATAATTTTTTCTTATTTATTTATTGATTATACAGTAATATTTAACATAATACTTCTTTATTAATTATAAATTTGTTACCAGCAACTGCATTGCACGTTTTACAACTGACTACGCCGAAGGTAATCTTCTGCAGCGAGAAATCTGTGGGTGTTATTTTGAATGCAATGAAAGAGAAAAATTGCAATCCTATGGTGGTGGTTTTCGGTAATCATGACAGCACGATTTCGTTGTCCGATATCCTAAGGAATTGTAACAATGCGGAAGCTGCAAATTTCCGCTATGTTGAGCTTGACGACGTCAAAAAGACGGCATGCATCATACATTCATCGGGCACGACGGGAATGCCGGAGGGCGTAGAATTGGCGGTACCTTGGATATGACAAATGTACCAACACTTTGGTTCTCATCTCTTTATTGGATCAGCGGAGTAATACTGAATGTGAAAGCGATTTCGCATGGTGGCACAGTGATCCTTTATTCGCAATTCGACGAGGACATGACTTGCCAATTAATTGAAAAATATAAAGTAATGTTATTTGTCAACATTTAATTTTTTTAAACTTAATTTATTGCATAATTAAAATTTAAGTACAATTCCTAATCTTTAAGATTTTCCGATTTAAAAAATAATGGAAAAAGAAATTGATCTAAATAACTGCCATATTTTAGTCTGCTGATATAGATTTTTTGCAAAATAATTTTTGTAAGTGATATCAATTATTATAGTTTTTTCGCGAAATTGTATAACAAAATTGAATCAATTCCTTTTAAACAAATTGTAATATTTTTAATGTATAGTTAAAATAATTCATAATATATAAAAACCTTTTGTTATAATAATAATGTTACAAATTTCCTGTCAAAATTGTTCATCATTCGATGAGACCAATTTATAGGAATGTATCTTTAATATAAGGAGTGTATCTTTGTAATATTATTTTGATTTTATTGTTAAGATAAATGTAAATTGCTACTGTAAGGAAATATATTATATTCATAATCTTTATATCTATTTGTTACATTGCATAATTATATTTAAAAATACACAAAGTATTAAAATTTAAAAACGTAACATTTTTATCTATTCAGGTAGCAGTTTTGTTTCTTAGCTCGAGTATGATAAACCGATTTGTCAGAGCAGGTTACGTAAAGAATTATTCATTACCATCTTTAAAAGTTATACTAGGTGGTGGTGCAATAATTAAACCAAAAATACAGGAAGAACTAAGACGTTGTTTACCATACGTTCAGATATTACAAGGTTATGGTAAATATCGTTAGAATGCGATAAAATATTAGTACACTTAAATTTATGTTATGTATATTGAAAAAATTTGTTTTCTTGTGTTATTAGGAATGACAGAAGTCGGTGGTCTTGTAACATGTCAATTACCAAATCACAAAGACGGATCTTGTGGAATAGTAGCTAAGAATATGCAAATAAAAATTGTGAATCCTGAAAGCAGGAAAGTACTTGATCCGAATCAATCGGGAGAAATATGGATAAAATGTGCAAACATGATGAACGGTTATTATAGGAATCCCGAGGCGACAAAAAGTACAATTGATGAAGAAGGTAAACAGATTATATGCATTATTAATTAACAATAGAAATAAAATTTACGTTCGACTGCCAAATGAACCATTTGTCTATCTTGGGAATATTTTTTTATAACTATTTTAAAAAGTTAATTTTTATTTACAATTTAAAAAATTAATATTCATTTAAATCATAACATTTAAAGAATCATTTGCAGAATATTAATAATAAGCAAATAATTAATGCTGTAAAGTATTGTATAAGAGAGAACTACAGTACAGACAATCCAAGAACTATAATAATTGTTTCTTTAAATAGAACATTTTTTGAGATCAATCGTTCGTTCTTGAAAACTTATATTTGAGAAATAAAATTAGCATGAGAGTCGGAGGATTAAAAAGAATTAATTATAAGTTAATTAATTGACTAATGCAAACCGAATAAATTCTGTACCATAAAATCTAAAAGTATGTAACTAGTAATAGAAATCTAATACCACGAAAATAAACGTAGAACTCTTTCAGGATGGCTGCACACAGGCGATATCGGTTATATTGATGAAGATGGAGAATTGTTTATTATTGATAGGATAAAGGAACTCATAAAGTATAGAGGATATCAGATCTCACCCGGAGAAATCGAGGGTGTCTTAATATCACATCCAGCAGTGCTAGAAGTTGCAGTAATATCGATACCTCATGCAACAGATGACGAACATCCTCTTGCATATATTACCAAAAAGCCCGGCGCCAAGGTACAATTTTTTATTACGATATGATAAAGTCATAGAATAAAAATTTATAAAATTAAATGTATTAGTTATATCTACATTTGTTTGTGCTAACTAATACAAAATGCATCTATTATATACAGTCTAAATAAGAATAATTGCAAACCCATTTTAAGTATTCTAAAAAACATTGTTTAAAAAATATAGTGAATACAAACTTATTTATAATGATAAAAACTTGTCTTTGCTAACGTTTTTCACTGTTGCATATAGCTCTTAGGAAAAAGTGTTTTAATATATTGATTAACTATTCACCAGCAACTAATGAAATCATCAGTTGCCGAGTAGTTAATCAGTAAATTGAAACACTTTCCTTAAAAGAGTAATAATGATATAATATTAGATGCTTTGAAATGAGTCATTAATATTAATTTTTTTTCTTATAATATAAATCCTTTAATATTTTTATATTATAAAATAATATACAATTTTATATTTTCTTAATTACATTTAATATTCTCTTAATTACATTATCAAGATTTTTTTATATTCTAACTAAAGATTCAAGTACGTAACTTTCTTGTTTCAGATAAATAAAGTTATAAATATTAATGTAGATATGTCAGACAAATATCATTATTTATACGTGTATATTATAATATATATTTTTTAACTCTTTCGCTCCGAACGCCGGATATATCCGGCATGCACGATGTGACTCACAGCGTCGTGGCTAAAGCTGGCAACAATCGCGATATTTTTTGGATAGCCATTTTTATACCCATTAAATTTTTATCTTTATACCCATTAAATAAGTTTATATCTTTTATGTAAAAATTATGAGTACATTGTTTTAAAGAAAAATCTCTTTTCTTCCAAGATACACTGTCCACGCGTAATGTGTATACTTTCGGCGCGGGGTCCCGTTCAGTGGCGCTACGGCAGACCGAACCGCCGTAGCGAAAGGGTTAATGCAGAATAAAAAATATTTATTTTTTATATTTAAGTATTCTTTATTGTAATGATTAAATTGTGTTTTTGCAGGAAACGGAGCAAGACTTGATAGACTTTGTAGCAAAAAATATGATGGATCACTACAAACTTCGTGCTGGAATTATATTTTTAGATGCCTTTCCGTATACAGGTTCAGGGAAAATTGCAAGGAAAGATTTAAAAGAAATGACTAAAAAATTATTTAAACGCACTAGTTAATTATACGTCTTAAATATATAATATATATGTATATATAATTGCACTACACTCTGTCGGATTGTAGACATTATAAATGAAGCAAATTGACATTTGTTTGCTTTTATAAAAAATTATCAGAAAAAAAATAAATTTTCTTAAAAATTAAAACTAAATCCTAT